GATGGTTCGATCAGCCACTTAGAAAATTATTTGAGTTATCAAAAGCATAACCACAGTCGGTCTTGTACTAGGGAAATAAGAGGACAACAGTTTTGTCGTTTTGGTATACCATATCCACCAATGCCTTCAACGCAAATACTGTTACCTCTTACAGAAACAAGTCAAAATTCAGAAAGACACAAGGAAAACTTTTTCAAAATTCAAAACGTTTTAAATTTAAATATGACTACAGAAGACATTTCTAAAGGATTTTGAACACTTCTTGTCTGATAGTAGAATAAATATGTCTTTTGATGACTATTTGTTGGCAGGTCAAGTTTAACAAAACCCAAAATTTTTCCAAAAAGAAAATTACAGGATCGTTTTATAAACGCTTATAATCCTCTGATTTTGGAACTCCATAGAGCAAATATGGATATCCAATATATACTGGATGCATATGCTTGCTGTTCATATATAATTAATTATATTAACAAGTCTAACAGGGGAATTTCTAGGCTCTTAAATGAAGCTATATCAGAGGTAAATGCTGAAAATTATACTATTAAGCAAAAACTTAAACATATAGGTCACAAATTAATATCAGGCACAGAAATATCTGCACAAGAAGCAGTATATTGCTACATTGGGCTCCATATTTCGGAAGCAAGTAATGCAGAAATATTTATAAATACCTCTCGACCTGAGGAACGTGTTCGAATGGTAAAACCTAGAGCGGAACTTCAGAACCTTCCTTCAGGTTCGACTGAAATATTCGTAGCCGGTATTTTAGACCGTTATGTTCAAAGATCCGATCAGTTAGAAACTCTTTGTTTAGCTGATTTTGCATCTTCCATATTTATAAAATTTAGATCATCTTCTCGTGTTCTATCACTAGTTGAAGAAGAAGAGAGGGAAGACGATAATTTACCAGAAAGCGGGGTTGTCATGCCTCTTAAAGACGGTACCGGTTTTGTGAAAAAACGTACCAAATCTTGTATTATTCGGTATAGAAGGTTTAACCCAGATTTGGCCAGAGTTGAGTATTTCCGCGAAATGTTAATGCTTTACTATCCTTGGCGGAATGAACAGCAAGATCTCATTGAAAACGATAATGAGCAGACTTGCATAACACATCGTATTATAATTGAGGAAAATCAAGGAAAATATGATGTTTTTGAGCAAAGGGAACTTGAAAATGTTTTAGAAAGTCTGTATAATGAAATAGACTTAGAGGAAGGTGCTCAAAATTAACTACCTATCGTGTAAAATGAGTTCAGAGTGTTGGCACTTCCAGAAACAAACCCAAATATAAATATGCTGGACTTGCATGGTGAAGATTCAACAGAAAATGGCACTGATTGCAATATTAGACTTATTAAACTACCCCTTTGAATTCCAGTTGAGGGACTATTTTCTTTAGTTAAAATTCAAAATACTAAGCAACGAACCTATTTGACACATTTGATGCACCACCTAAAAATAAATCTCCCATTTTATGATTTCATTGGCGGCGGTGCAGGTGTAGGAAAGAGTCGTTTGATATCTGCAATATATCAAGCTCTTAACCATCGCGTCAATTGTACACCTGGATCCAATCCAAATTCCTTAAAAGTTCTTCTTTGCGCACCTACGGGTAAATCAGCATTCGGAATAGGTGGAATGACCCTTCATTAAGTATTCTCTTTACCTGTTAATCAGTTGAATAGAGAGTTCAGACCACTTAGCAACGACACAGTTAATTCATTGTATTCCAGACTTATCGATTTAAAATTAATCATAATTGATGAAATATCGATTGTAGGTGCTCGTATGTTTAGCTCTGTTGTTGCGAGATCAAAACAAATTTTCAAAACAGACAGCCCCTTCGGTGGTATACCGTTCATAGTGTTTGGTGATTTGAAGCAACTCTCACCTGTTGGAGATAGGTGGATATTCTCTCCTAATCCCAATGATGCATACAGCACTTTAGTTGGTTCCCCTTTGTGGGAGTTATTTAAATACTTTGAATTAACAGAGATAATTAGACAACGGGAGGTTCAGGAAGTCCTTACTTCTGAGTTAGGCAATCAAAATGTGCTAATTGTTGGAGATTTTAACATTTGTTTAATGTCTACAGGGACTGCAATAAGAAATCTGCTCCAAGAAAAAAACTTTAGTTCCCTGCTTGGTGCAGAATATTCAACTACACCTGCCAGTACACAAATTGATTGGGCATTTTCAAACATGGATCCTTCCTGTTTAAATGTAATTACTTTTGAGACAGTACACAGCTATCATGACAGTATTTGTGTCTCTATTTCGAACTAAAGTTTTCAGACTTAGTGCAATAGTTCTTCATTTTTTTTTACAAATATAATCGAATTGGAATGGTATAGGAATTTTGACAGTAGTTTTTAAGACAATTTTAAGAAAAATATGTAAATAATCTAATTAAGAAAATTTATATTATATATGTAATTTGTTATTATATATGACATTATTGTATAAATATATGATAGAAATTAAATAGTATAAGGAAAAAAGAATTATAATTTGGATATATGTATAAGAATCTCTACAAAAATTATATACAAATTAATATAATAATATTATATCATTTTTAAAGTTGTTAATATTTATTATTTTTAAGCTAAACATGTATAATAATATCGATATAATAAATAAAAAATGTTATTCATTGTTCAAAAACTATTTCTTTTCATACTTCTCAATACAGTTGTAATGCATTCTTTATAAAATCAATTATAAGCGTATACAAAAAGCACAAGAACGATTTCTCATAATTTGAGTAAATTTAGTTTACAAATTGCTCTAATTATTTTCACTATGAGTGAAAAGTAAATAACTAAGACAACAGTTCCTACTTCTAATTATAAAAATATATAAAGAAGTCTCAAACGAATATGCCATTTAACTTTGCGAGAGTATAAAATGTTCGGTTACATCCGAACTTAGCTCTTCCTTACTTGTTTTTATTAAAACACAAACGCCTTGCTAATTGGTTTGGATGTTATTTAAATTCGAAAAATAACCACTGTATGCCTTAGGAAGGTAAATGTTGTTTAGATGTTGAGTGTAATAGTGTTCGAAAGTACTTTTGAAAGGGATGGGAGAGGTTCGAAAGGTGGGGATAGGAATTGAGAAGGCGGAGAGAATGGTGTTTTAGTTTGGGAGTATGGTGAAGTTATTTGAGTGGATGACTTGTATTGAGACAAAGGTGTGCTATTATTAGGCGTGAGGTTAGAGTTGATTTTATTGCGGGCAGTGAGTTCAAGTGAGATATCGGAATTTATGGAGTGGAGAGAGAGATTCGTTCAGTTTGTTGTTGGTGTTGTTGAGATGTTTCTAACTAATATTTGAGCAAAGGAATGTTTGTAAATTGAGTGATATATTTCAGCATTTATGGTGAATTTGTTTTTTGAATGTTGCTAAGGGGAATAATGCTGTTGCTGTTTATAGTGGTGGGAAAGTCGACGTTTGTGTTTGTTATTTCTATATTTTCCCTGAAACTAATAATACATGAATTCGATGCTATTGAAGCACATGAGTTGCTGGATACAAAAGCTGAATTTGTATTGCTTCGCGCATTGAACATTTGTTTTTTGTTTTAATTTTTATAATTTCATTTGCCTGCAAGTTTTTAGAGCATGATGTATGTTGTTAGAAACAGTTTACACCAAGAGACGAACGGTTACAACGTTTTGCCGGGTGAACAAGAAGCTGGCAATTCTTGCAACGCCTTGGCGAAAGAATATATTAACGTACCAAAAGTTTACTAAGGTTAAAAGTTAGTAACAAAACCCGCAAGGGGTGCGGTTTACCTCCAATAAACTTATTGAATTTAAACACTGACACAGCACTTTAAGAGCTGAGCTCATTTCTATTTCCTCCTCTGATACATTGCTGCATTTGAGAGGAAGAAAATATCGTGCCCTTTACGTGGTTGAGAGTTTCGTGTAGGGTGGCTGATATGAAACATATGTTCAACACTTCTTTTACTTCCATACTTTTTTCGCATCTCGAATGGTAGATATGCGAATTTGCTTATTACCACGATAAAAGGCAAAGCAAGAAGAGGAAGAAAGGGGTTTGGAAGTCAGTATCTTTAATCACTACAAAATTTGGAATTACGAAATTAATTTTGAAGTCACTACTTTTAATAAATTACCCTAATGAAATCGAAATCGCCAACTGCAAGCTAGATACCAAGTCCCAAATTAAATTCTCAAATGGAAATAGTTCTTAGGTACTCTTAGAGTTTAATCCAGTATCCTCCAGTATGGTACCAGGTAGTAAGATAGATCCACTATCACGAACATACCATTTTTAACAATGTCATCTCAACTTACTTTACCAATCCTCTATACTCACTATACAAGTATATATATCCGATTTGTAGCGTACAAAATACAAATGGTCTGACGATAAATATAATATATAATATTCATGCATCACTCTCTAAATTGCTTTGCAGGTATTTTTGACTTTCGACTATCCACTCGATTAAACCAATCATTTTCTATTCAATAATCATTCAATTACATCGCTGCTAAGTTTTATTTAGTTATAACTTTTATTCCTCGTTTTTTTTCAGATTTCAATGTTCTTGACATTCGTATGCTATCGTTTACTTCGCCCATATGCTCAAAGTGAAAATACGTTTATTATTTTTGGAAACCATATTAAAATAATCAATAATTTTATAATTTTTACGACGCTCGATTTTTAGAGATTTAAAAAACTAAAATGCTTTTTCAAAAATAGCTATAGGTATTGCTCTACCATATATAAGTTTATTTCCTAACTAATGTTGAATAAATCTAGTGTATAATTCATATACATATATTCTTAAGTAGGCCATAAATATTGTTATATATTTATCTATATATGTACGCACTTTTATGTTGTAACACATGCTAAGTTACCAAACTGGTTTGATACGCTATAGTTGATTATAAATTAAGCTGTTTTCTTAAAACTCCTACTAATAAAAATGTTTTAACTAAATTTTTTTTCAGAAATTGCTCAGGACGTTTGGAAATACAACCTTGTAAAGGCCATTGTGGTTATCCGGTAACCCATTTTTGGCGCCGAGCCAATAATGTTATATTTTTTCAAGCAAAAGGGACACATGACCATCCAAAGCCCGAAGCCAAGGGGTCAACTGAAGCACGACGTCTTTTCGGTAATAGCCGACGTATTCGCAATACATCTACTATGCTTACACATCGAAAAATTTCTCGCAATAATAAACACCGCAGTACTAACAACTACTTTATGAACCCACAGTGCAGCTTACATAAAATAGAAGAACAAAGGAACATAACGAATTATTGTAATATCTATGAAAACAGTCACAATGTGGTACCCTTTACTCAAAAGCAAGAAAATATGGAACTGTCTAAACTTTTACCTACAGAAACCACATCTTTCATGCCCTCAAATTTGTGTTTAAATGCAACAACATTAGCGGATAATTCGAATTTAAACCAAATGACCGCGCCTTCCAATGTTAACAGACATGAAAATACTTTTACAATGCTCGAAAATCGTGCACCGTCATCTGCTATGACATCTTCAGTTTCCCTTTATTACTCTCCTTCTATGCAAAGTCAGCAAATACAAAATATGGCAAAGAAATCTAAAATAATGGAGTCAAATTCTACAAGCGAAACACAATTTCATACTCCACTTTATCATGAACCGTGCCGAATCAATGAAAACTATGATGACACATCCAGTGTTACTTCTAGTTCCGGCTACAATTCAGATGATTATTATTATCCCTGCTTTGTACCATGTTCAGCCTCCTCTAGCTCTTTAACTCTGGCTAGTAACCAACGCCAAGAATTAGCAGTTGCATACTTCGCCGCTCAAACAACTGAAATATATAATACAGTATTTGAACCTGTTTCGATGCAACAAATTCAGCTACCTAATGTTTCTAGAGATTTGCATTTGGATTTTATTGAAGAATATCAAAACACGAACTCTTATGAAAAAAATATTGAAAATCATCAGACACAGTATCAGCACGCTACTTTTCAAAGCAACATAAATTCTGAGTTTTACTATTCCGGAAACGATAACGCCTGGAATTTTTGTATTTAATTACTTAATTTGAAATTAATAAAAACAGTTCAATAATTTGCTTAGAGCAACTTATTTGTACATATATACATTAATTTTATACTCACTGGACACTAATAGCAAACTAATAAAATCTGTTGTAAATAAATTCATTTAATGTCAAGTAAAGAAGGGCTAAGTTCGGGTTTAACCGAAAATTTTATACTCTCGCAATTCGCGACGCTCCTAGGGGTAAATCACATTACATGTACAAAAAGCATATCCACTTAATTATAATAAAATATAAATAATGTTGAGGACACGGGAAGGTCTGAATTGATAACATATACCAGTGCGTTCAAAAAAAACCTTTTCCTTTGCGGGATCAATTCGAGGAAAACTGTTTTTCTTTTTTTGCAAATTAATTAAAAGTTCAATTGTGATCACTGACGCTTACAATTCGGTAAATTTTTTCGATCGTACACATGGTCTGACCATAATGAAGAATGGAGTATAAAAAAGGTTTATTGAAGTCTGCTGAAATGCTCTACGACCAAAATAACCATCAGTGGATAGTGACAGAGGACAATGCCGAAACATAGGACACTCTTTACTCAATGGAAACGAGAAACCAATATTGTTGACTTAGATTGGCCATCACAGTCGCCAGACGCCAATTCAAAAGAGAATGTTTGGGCGTTAATCAAAGCCAAAATATCATGAAAACATTTAACGTCAACAAAAGATTCCAACATATTTGGAGGTAGCTTCCTATGGAATATGCGGGAAATTTAGTTGCAAGTTGCCAAAGATGTCAGGCTAGGCAATTATTGAATGATGAACACGTGTACAAGTTTCATAGAGATATCTTAATTTTTACTTATCGCTTATAATAGTTTTATGTCTATCCCGGTTAATATAAACAACCGTTAGGTGAACAAAACTATTACACTCTCATACCACATTGCGAAAGTATAAAAATAGGAAGTTAGCTTAAAGATTAAGCGCAAATTAAGTAAGTTCTACGGCGATATGGAAAACTGAATGTTACCATGCTATGCTTCATTTCTACTCGGTTATATTCTAGACGGGTAAAGCCTATAAGCATAAACGACAATTATTTTACTTGAAGTGAATTCTGAATGGAGTTAATCTGAGGGCTGCCACGCGAAACCTTTTTATTTCGAAATGTTTTTAATATTAACAAACAGTAGCTACATATGATAGTGGTACACTTATTTTACATTTATTTGATTCACTTTGATCACACATCACAATTTGATAAATTTGGGTAAAATTTTTAGTAAATATATATATTTTTGGCAAAAAATAGTAATACGGGAGACTTGTTTTCAGCTTAAATGCAAATCAGCTGTTTAATGTCTTCTGAATGGAAACACAAGTGGAATGGTTAAGAATTTTCTTTAAATATATGCAAAAGAAGCAGCAAATGCCGATGGATAAAATATTTATGTTTAATTTATCAAATCAATAAACAAATTTCAAACTTTTAAGGCAATTAATCGCAACAATGTACACCGGCACAAAAAATCAGTTGATTTGACGTTCAACTTGTAATATGTGTATATTCTTTTATTAATTATGCATGTGGGTTGAACTTACCCGTGTAGAATATAACCGAGTAGAAATGAAGCATAAACATGGTATGTGTTTAATTACAATCTTAGTGAATAGTTTTAAGATTTAAGAAAAATATGCTGTATAAAAAGATAAATCACAATCATGAACCATAATGGAAAATTGAACAAACATTGAAATAAAATGTAAAAAAACTAATGATTAGGTGTTTATAATTATTTAATTCATCATATATTTTAAATAGTGCCTCGGATCCAGCGTTTGCGAATGGTTTTGAAGAGCATATCGCTGAAAAGAGGCAGCGTTCGAAAGACGGTCAACCGAAGGCACCTTTGAAAAAAAGATATTGTAAGGACGTAATCGATAAGCTAAACGTCAAGCACGCCGACAACAAGCCAACGACGTCCAAAGCAGCGACGGCAGCCAACCTATGACATTTTGATCGAGACGCTTAGCTACCTCAGTTATCCTCTGGGGCAGACGTCACATTAGCGGTGGAAATGAAGCTATTGGGAGCCCTCTTCTCGAGGATGGGCTCCACGACAAACGCGCAATGCCAGGTTAGGTAAGAGTAGTCAAAATCCTTAAATGCAAGAATGACCCGTCGCTGACATGGGTGATATAAGCTATTGAAACCCTTCCGAGCCTGTGGAAAACGCGAAACTGAAGGTAATGGGCCGCAGCAGCATTCCATCGGCAAACGGGATCATACCTCAAGTGGTAAACCTAGTATTGATCATCCTGTGGGTCCAAAACTGGCAGCTGAGGATGCTCCAGATAAACCTTCACAAAAGTAAGGTCGCCTCCTTGGATAACATAGGGCAACGTGGTCGCTGGGTTAAAATCACCAAATTACACAACGTATATCCCGAGCTTGATTAACATAATAATAACGGTGATATTGGTGAACATAAATCTATTTTTGGCTATCTATTTTCCATATTGGCTTCAGTCTTTCCACAGATGACTTATCGGTTGTGGCGATAAAGGACGTCATGAATGAGCCTATACATCCTACTATATGCCACACGATCACATTATTTGGGTAGCAGCAAAGTTAACCAAATAGATGACGCTCTACTTTATTTTATTTTATTAGTAGTAGTCTAGAGGCAGCCAATCGAAGTGGGGAACCTGCCTATATAGGTCCCGCTTCCATAAACGTCCTAGACATAACGCTATATACCAGTAGAGATGCAATGGAAGAGAATTGAAGAGTGCTAAGCACACCGTCGTTCTCTAACCATCAATTCTCCATTACACCTGAAACAAATATCAGACAAGAGGTTAGGAGAAATCCCAGAATCACAAACTGCGCATTTAACTGACATGAAGAGCTTGAAGTATTCACGAATGTTCTTAATAAAATTTCTTATTTCGCTTTCCCTTCGCTGCCAAAAACGCAGCAATCTTGGTAGAACAAGGAGCTCAGGCCTTGCAGACGCAGGGTACGAGAGTTTTTAAACTGACGCAATCCTGCTTACTGCTCAATTAATTGTAAGGGGTATTGCCGGAAAATATTGTAAGTATTTAAATACTTAAATTTTTTGTGTTTTTGTATATTGTGTTTTTTAAGTTGTGTTTGAATACACGAAGGTAAGCATGTACAGGCAGTCAATTATTATATAATATATTAGGTCAAGTAAAAAGTTCGTTCGGTTTTTATCTAAGAGATGGCGTTATTGTCCATAGTACTAGTGTTACGTGTCGCATCATGTCACTATACGGCGCTGAAAACGTGTTTATTCGCGCTAAAAGTTTGTCTTTGACAGTTTTTCGATTGATGTACTCAGTTCGTTGTGAGCGCTGAAAACATTAATTTAGTTTATATGCCCGATACTGTAAACCAACGTGTAGCACAAAAGTGATTTGCTAGGTTCTGTTCCGGTAATTTCGATGTCAAAGATGTACCACGCGTCGGGAGGCCTGTCGTCGAAAATTGCGATAAAATCATGGAAATAGTGGAAACAGACCGTCACGTGAGCACTTATTTGGATTCAAAAAGGAGCTCGATGTTTGGGTGTCACACGAACTAACGCAAAAAACATGATGGACCGAATTTCCATCTGCAAATCGCTGCAGAATCGCAACAAAATCGACCCGTTTCTGAAGCGGATTGTGACTGGCGATGAAAAAAGGGGCACTTACGACAATATCGAGCGCAAACGGTCGTGGTCAAAGCTCGGGGAAGCGGCCCAGATGGTGGCCAAGACCTGATTGACGGCCAGGAAGGTTTTGCTGTGTGTTTGGTGGGATGGGCAAGGAATCATCTACTGCGAGCTGCTCCCCTATGGCCAAACGCTCAATTCGGCCCTCTACTGCCAACAACTGGACCGCTTGAAGGCAGCACTCATCCAGAAGAGGCCATCTTTGATCAACAGAGGCCGAATTGTGTTCCATCAGGACAACGCCAGGCCACACACGTCTTTGGTAACTCGACAGAAGCTCCTGGAGCTCGGATGGGAGGTTCTAATGCACCAACCTTATAGTCCGGACCTGGCACCAAGTGATTACCATCTTTTCCTGTCCGTGGCGAACGCGCTTAATGGTGAGAAGTTCGCCTCAAGAGAGGCCTGTGAAAATTGGCTCTCCGAGTTTTTTGGCAATAGGGGCGCAGTCTTCTACGAGAGGGGTATAATGAAGTTGGCATCTCGTTGGCAACAAGTTTACGAACAAAACGGCGCATATTTGACTTAAATCGGACAAATGTACACAAAGTTATCATCTTTTGAAAAATCAATAAAAAACCGAACGAACTTTTTACTTTACCTAATATACATATATATATCTATCGTATATATGTATGTGTATGAATGTACACATGTATATATTACAATAAACGGTTTTTCATAATTTGAACCCGCAATTTAAACCGGTAAGTTAAACCAACCAAAATATTTTACTGTTTTTTTTTTAATACAGTTTTCTTTTGTTCAAAATATAAACTGTAATTCGCAATAAATATACATACTACGTAAGTGCATAAATATGACTGACTTTGATTTCCTCCAGGGCTTTTGGGGAATATATGTAATTGCGTGTATATAGTTACGTGTATTTTTTTTTTTTTTTTTTTTTTTTTTTTATAGTAGGGGGAAGCATCGAAAGCCGAAGTGCGGAACTTTAATCCGCTAAACCTAACCTACTCCTAACCCAAATCTCTCCCACGGAACCACTGGACAAAGTATTACTTAATGGGAGAGAAGAAGACATTTAAGTCTCCTCTACGGTACGGACTAACTGACTCCTAATCTGTTGTAAGTGTCTCAATCTTGTCATTATCACAGCTGACGCTTCGCTGACTGCTTTCCATTTAATAGAGGACTCACACATAAGTGCTGTCAAATTTTCCACCGAGAAACTACCGCCAAGTGTGGTTTTCAGATTTTCTCTTATACTGGAGAACCGAGGGCAATGGTAAAAAACATGTTCAGAGTCTTCAATACATTCTGTACACGCCGGACAGTACGGACTGTAGTCATGACGAAATTTGTAATGGTAGCTTCTAAAGCACCCATGTCCACTTAACATTTGGGTCAGGTGGAAATCCAGGTCCCCATGCTGTCTATCTATCCACGGTCTGATGTCTGGTATCAGTCTGTGAGTCCACCGTCCTTTGGATGAGGTTTGCCACCGTTGCTGCCACAGCGTAATGCTCTTGGTTCTTTCCTCTCTTTTTGTTGCTGTAGAGATATCCGATAGCTGGTATAAGCGCGCGAATTCATTTCCTTGGATGTCGATGGGCACCATACTGGCTAATACTTCCGCAGCGTCGGTTGATACGGTTCGGAAAGCACTTATCACGCGTATTGCAGAAAGCCTATGCACTGTGATTATTGGTTTAGCATATGATTTTGTGTCTAGCGCCTGGATCCATATTGGAGCCGCATACAGTATAACGGATCTCATTGCCTTAGCTATTAGAAATCGTCGGCTGGAACGCACACAGCCTCTATTTGCCATCATTCTAGATAAAGAATTATAGATTTTATTTGCTTTACTCGTCGTGTTTTCCAAGTGCTCTTTAAATTTTAGCCTTGAGTCCAATATAACGCCAAGATACTTTAGCTGTGGCTGTGAAGTTATCTGACATTCTCCTATGGTGAGCGATAGTTTTTCTTCAATTTTCCTGGAGCTAATGAGCAATACCTCTGTTTTCTGCTCAGCCAACTCTAGACTCATGGTTGCGAACCACCGTCGTATACCATTTATGCAATCATTGCATTTGACACGGAGGTCATCTAGATGTTTCGCTACTGTTACCACTATGAGGTCATCCGCATAGGCAATTAGTTTCACGGATTGTTGTTGATGTAGTCTTAGCACCCCGTCGTACATCAGGTTCCAAAGAAGTGGGCCTAAGACCGAACCTTGTGGTACTCCACTCGAGATAGAGTAGCTCTTGGTACCCTCATCTGTGTCGAAAAGCAGCCTTCTGTTCTCAAAATAACTCATAATAATATTTATAAGGTATTGGGGAGCGCGTATTTCGTACAGGGCCTTGATGATATTTGCCCATTTCGCAGAATTGAATGCATTCTTCACATCCAGGGTAATTAGCGCGCAATATTCTTTGGTGCCACCTTTCCATCTTTTGCCACTTATTGCACATTTCGCAATATCAACGACTTCACTTAGTGCGTCAATAGTGGACCTCTTTTTTATAAAGCCGTATTGTCTCTCTGATAATCCGCCGGCTTTTTGGATTGCTAACTCCAAGCGGTTTCTTACTATGCTTTCGTACACTTTACCAATCGTGTCGAGCATGCACAGAGGTCGATATGATGAAGGTTCTTCAGGTGGCTTTTTCGGTTTTGGAAGTAGAACCAGACGCTGCACCTTCAACGGGTCGGGAAACACGCCTTCCAGTATACACGCATTGTACATTTTAACGAACAAACTGGGTCTCAGAGTCATGGCTTCTTTTAGGGATCTATTTGGTATACCATCTATTCCAGGCGCATAGTTACGTGTATATAGTTACGTGTATGTACGTCTACGTGTGCTTCTGTGTTTCTTTCCAATTCCTGTCCTTTGTTGCTTTTGATTTTGTGTGTGCTAGGTGTTACTTTTGTGTTTTTCTTTTTGTTAGTCCACGCCCGTATGTGTTATTATACCCTGAACAGGGTATATTAATTTTGCCACGAAGTTTGTAATACCCAGAAGGAAACGTCGGAGACCATATA